TTGGGCCACATAGAAAGAACACTTTCAAGTGTTCTCTTATTAATGATCCTCTTATTAATGACCCATTCAACTTTTTAAAAAATCAACAAAATCATAGAACATCTGTTTAATCCTATCTAACAAGGACCATGAGCAAGCATGATTTAGAGAAGATACACATTCTACCACCTTATCTCCAAACTTCTACTCAGCAGGAAAGGGAGCGAATGGCCCAAGCGATCTATCTGAAAACACAGACAGTATCTTGATCTGTCTCGTTAAGCGATGACAGATATGACACTGAGTGGGCCCACATCCTAAATTATTTCTTGGTCTAATTTTGTTCTGTCGGAACATTACTCAGAGTACAGCTGGTCGTTGTAAGGTCTTGAAAGGGATGGCAGAATTGGGAACATCTTCAAAAAATACACCTACAGTCTGAGACTCACACTGATCATCATCCACCCTTCTAGGTGCCTTCTGATAATGACCTGAGTCCCCTGACTGCAACAACAAGCAGTTATCAAGACGAAGGAGAGCATTTCTGCTCCACAAGCACCAATTTCAGCTGCATTAGAACACAGATCAAAGTGGGCTGTCATTAATGGTCTGAAAGACAGCAACAACTTTCCCTGGGTCTAATAGCTTGGCCACTGCCCCAGTGTGCTGTATTACAGCTCATGGGCCCTGTCTCCATCAGGACATCAGAAGGATGAACACATGAAACTGTACAACACAGCTTATTAAAAGCTATTTTTCAGGAAAGATTTTCTATGTGTCTTTTTAAAATTATTTTTAAATTTATTAAACAACTTGCCAGAGTCTGGTCTCTCCTTCCACATGTGCTCCAGGGATCAACTCCAGGTCATCAGGCTTGGCAGCAAGCTCCTCTACCCATTGAGCTGTGTCACTGGATCACACATATGGGTCCTCGTCCCTCATGAGGGATGAAGGCCATGAAGAGGAAAGCGGGAGACACGAATGGCAGTGACTGTAGAGGGTTTCCCGAGAACCCAAACCTGGCCGTGTTGACCACAGAAAAGCGTGGGTGAGAGGCGGACACTGTGTGGCTGCTAGCATCGAGACTTCGTTTGTTCTTTAGACAAACTCTTCTCCAAATTTCTACCAAAATACAGTTGTGTAGGCTCAGGCAGGCTAGAGGGAATCCAAAGATGTGGAAACAGCACACCAAACATGACTCAAAAGAGGATCAGTATAAGGAATGGGTAAAACACTGGAAGACATGAAGGCTACATTTGAGAAGTTGCTGGAGATTGGGGGCGGGGGTAGAAGCCTTCCCACTCTGTAACAAGCTGGAAAACTGGCTAGCAAATTATGCATCTGGGCTTCAGGAACAAAATTGAGGCCACCTAGAAGTTCCCTAAGTTTCACGACTTTATAATTTCAAAGTAGGCCTGGCACGGAGGATCAGTGGCTCCTGGTATACACTACATCTTTGCTTAACTGAACTGCCCCATGTTGCTGCTCAAGCAAAATCAAGGTAGAAACTATAATACAGAAAACTTTAAGAATCTTTACGTTTTAAGTTGTGCAGAAATATAAACCAAAGCATGCCAAACATGGTACTGACATCTTTTTAGCAATATCCAGGTAGACGCTGAGAACCAAGACTGGACACCACGCGGCGTGCTGTGATGACTCTCTTCTTTCACTCCCGCCATGTTGAGTGTCCTCAACCCAACTTTCAGGACAGCTCTTCTCTAGTTCCTCCTCTCTCCTCTCTGATGTTAATCAGTTGCTCCAGGGTTTTACAAGTTTGCTGTTAGCACCTCAGTTTGATGCCTTTCCTCTGCAGCAGTTTATATCAAGTGATGTCTGCATAAGGCTTCACATAAACCTGAATCCATGCCTACCTGGTTTCATGCACACCCGACGTGTGGTTTGAATGAAAATGGCTTCCTTGGGTCAGAGGGAGTGGCACTATTAGGAGGTGTGGCCTTGTTGGAGGAGGTGTGACCTTGTTGGAGGAGGTGTGGCCTTGCTGGAAGAAGTGTGTCACTTGGGGGTGGGCTTTGAGGTTTCAAATGCTCAAACCAGGCCCAGTGTCTCTCTCTTCCTGCTACCTGTGGATCTGGATGTAGAACTTTTAGCTCCTTCTCCAGCACCATGTCTGCCTAAGTGCCTCCATACTTTCTGCCATGATGATAATGGACTAAATCTCTGACCTATAAGCCAGTCTCAATTAAATGTTTTCCTTTATAAGAGTTGCTGCAGCATGGTGTCCCTTTACAGCAATAGAAACTCCAGCTAAGACACCTGGCTTCATGCAAATTTAGCTTCCAGCTTAATTCATGTCCAATGTCATGTGTAACTGGCTTCATTCGCATCCTTGTGCCCTGAAGGTCTGGCTTCATGCATGCCTAGTTTCATGCATGCCTGGCTTCATGCATGCCTGGCTTCATGCATATGCAGCATCATGCAAGCCCAGGTTAATGTTCATCAGACTCATGAACACAGCATCTGGCTCTTGCCTGTGTGGAGAGTCTATTTCTGCCTCATTCTCAATGTAATTATGTCATCAATATCATTTAGGTCTTGGGGAAGCTCCTGAAACTGCCCAAAAGTCTTCTCATAGCCTTGTGATAATCCTGATAATGATATAATGTCACCAAGCTCTTTGCAAAGTGCAGTATGTACTAAGAGCTTACTGTGTATTATCTCACTAGCTCTTTCCAGGGCCCCTGGGGAAATGTATTTATTGTAAGGCAACTCAGGGGCAGAATGGTTTCAGTACCTTTCCCAATATATGTAAGGCAGTTAGAGAAAGGCAGAGTTTGGATCCGGTCCCTGGTCTGACTAATTCCTTTGACACTCCTGCTCTCAGCTGCCAGACCCTACTGCAGTGGCTCTCAGGGTGTCCCAGGACTGACTGTGGTGTCACCTAAGACTTGTTTCAAATGTCTTGTCTCCCCAGTGCTGAGTTCAAGACTCTGGGGAACAAGGCTCAGTCATCTGCATGGAAAGCTGGTCAGAAGGCCACCTGGGTTGTTTTGTTACTAGAATGTGGAAGTTTTCAGTGGCTCTTCACCTTTCTGCAGAGGGCAGAGGGACCCTCTGCCCTGGACTTTCTCTTTTGGAAAGTGCCAGGTGGTGTTATGTCCACCCTGGAGAAGGGCCCTGCTTTGAAGGACAGAGAAGAATCCGAGAGGAACAAAGCCTTCTGCGGTCAACTCGGAGCAGACAGGCAGGAATTCCAGGAAGTCTCTGGAAGCCTTTACATGATAAACGATACTTCATAATCACCCACTTAAGCAAACTCAGTAAAACAAAATGTGTACAACTTCTGAATTCATAGGTGGAAAAAGTGTGTGGGTCCAGGGGTAGCTGGGGCAGGAGTTACCACTAGCTTTCTTTGGTTTTAAGAAAATGAACTCTACTTTAGCATTATAGCCTGAACTGCTGAGGATGTGACCTTGGTCTTTCTCAGTCCGTGGCACCAAGCAACTCCACAGATGTTCCTCTGGAACCTCTTTAACATCTTCCTGCACGTGCAGCCCTGAAATTATCTTTTGCTTCGAGGACTTGGGAGCTGCCTACAGCTGGTCCGAGCCATGCTTTCCACCGGTCAGTGGCAACAAGCATAAATGGTACGTGCTAAATGTGGAAGAACGGGGTGGCTTCTCTAACTATGATTTAGCTGAGAGAGGACATAGTGACTTCTAGCTGGTCACACAAAAATGATGTAAAACAGAAAGGCTCTAACTATGCATGAACTTGAACCTGTTGAAGATCTCACTCACTCTACCACACCAAAAGCAAAATAAACACATTTCGCCTGGAAACCCTGACTGAGTAGGAGGACTTCCTGGCCTGAAAGAGTGCAGGATCCACGGTGTCATCCAGGGGTGTTCTCAGGTGCCTGGGCGTACAGTGGTGGTTCTAGTGCACGCATTTCATCATCCCTCCTCCAGAAAGAGTCAAAGAGAGGCCACGGACTATCAGACACAGTGAGCAAGGGTTCTTGTAAGATTTTGGGAATCCCCATCCTCAAACACATCTAGACGAGGCCTGCATAAACTACCAGCCCTGGGGGAAGCAAGAAGGCCCAAGGGACTGGGCAGGTCACCTTACCCTGGATGAGGTCTAAGGAGCTATGGGTACACTGCCTTTCCTAGAAAATCCTTCTTCAACTTTCACATCTTGTCACTCTTAAAACTAAAATGAGAGAGCTTGGCATGGTGGCCCACACTTGTCATCCCAACACTTGGGGGGCTGAGGCAGGATGATAGCTGTGAGTTTGAGGCTAGCCTGGGTTACCCCAGGTCAACCTGTGCTATGGTATGAAGCTTTGTTTGAAAAAAAACGTAAAATCAAAGGCCCCTGGGTGTTGATAATGATTTGTCGTGCCAGAGAGAAAGCACGGAAGAGTAAATGGCATCCTTTCCTTGTTGCTTGCTCATTTCCACAGAGCAGAGACACATACCAGACAGTATCTATAAATGCCATCTAGTGCCATATGCCACCTCTCAATTTAAAAAAGAAAACAGGCTCAAAGTAAAAGCAGAATGTCATCTGGGGAACATGTATGAAAAGTCCAGATGACCAAATTATCAAAGCCAGGGAAGACTGTGACGGGTCATGAGATACCCGATCAGGGTCCCTCCTAGGCCACTTGAGTCCTTCTCCATCTGTGGCTTTAATTGCATTCACGGCAAGAGGTTAAATAGAAAATGGCCTCTGCCAAATGTTTCCTCTAATCCATGTAGCAAGGCTCCTAAAATTCCATTTATTAACAGACAAATGTGGCCATTTATAAAGGCAGAAGCTAAACACGTCACCTGTCACTGCACACACGCCAGACAGGGTATTTCGTTTATGTTAACTTGCTAAATGTCACTCATGATCTCCTAGAACCCATTCACAACTTAATGGATAAAACAGACTAAATCAAAATGTAGTTGGTTTAACTGCAAATTTTCATCTAGATATTTACTGCTTAATCAAAATCAATACTAATCAATACTGATGATCTTAGCCCACATGAAGAGCATTTAACTTACCCTTGCCATATCCACCAAGAAATTCTCAAATAACTTCCAAATGTGGTTACTGGTATAGATTTCTTTCATCTCCACTTCGGTGTCAACGTAACAGTGATTGACAAAGTTCACATATGCAATCTTGACCTGTGAAAATTTCAAACACAAAGTTCAGTTCTTCACTGATCGCCTTCTAGTTTACAACATGAAATGCCATCTGCATAGTAGAGTACAATCTGTTTTGTACACGTGCATATTCCCTGCTTTCTTCCTTTAACAGCTATTCCACCGTGGCCCAAGGAAGCCTAAGGTCTACCATTCCACTCCCCTATGCCTAGAGGTTGCTGTGAAAATGGGAGCTTTACTCACAGCAAACCTAGCATCCTTGAGACACTAGGAAGAACTCAAAAGTCTCCAAGAAAAGGCTGTATACAAAAACAAATCATGTCACTCATTCCATGGGGCTCCTGGACTCTGAGTCAGAACCGTAAGGAACGGGGCAGGCTTTCCTGCCTGAAGGGCTTCCTGTTGCTCCACTGAAGTCTAGAAAAAAATCCTCAATGGCATATGCCCATGTCGAGACTGATCACAGGCTAAGAAGAGCTGAGACACGCAAGGCAACCACCATCATCTCCTCAGCATCTGCACTTACTCAGCATCTGCCATGCATGAAACCCCTCGGCTCCTCCCATGCCTCATCTTATTGAATGCAATCCTCTAATAATCCTATGAGGCCAATGCAGTGATTATTTTACTTTAAAACTGTAGGAATTGGTTGCTGGAAGTGTTAAGTGACTGATGGAGTCAGCCATACAATTAGAAAACAATGGATAAAGGTCCTGACTATTGAATTTGCTAGAGACAGGTTTGCTGGATATCTGCTCTGACTGAGATACTCATGGTTTGCTGGACATCTGCTCTGACAGAGGTACTCAAATAATAATGGAAACACACCTAGCCATTATCCTCCTAGAGCTGATGCTCTTGGGGGAGGCATAAGAGCTAAAGAAAGTCAACTGGTCAGCTTTCCATTAGAGATGTGGGTGGCCATATCTACACAGCCAGAGAACTTGTCTCTGAAGAAGTAAAACGTGAGGTGGAATGACTCCAGTGAACACAGGAAAGGCAGGGCCCTGAGAAGGAACTGAACATGGGGTCTGGCATGGCCAAGACCAGGACCTCAGATTAAAGACCAAGCCCATAATCCTCTCCTCCACCCAAGCCTCTCTGCCATTTCATCTTAGCCCTTCAAGGCATGAAGGACCCTTGAACTGGGGTGTTAAGGATTCCACATAAATATTCTTTCAGGTCCATGACTGTGTTGCCATGGTGCATGGCTACTTGAGTAGGGACTGAGACCTCCCCTGACTCCTTTCAGTTTTATGTCCTTTAGAGTATAGCACACATTTATGAACTCATTGTAACATACCATAATAGCAGAAAAGAAAGAAATCATTACACTGTGTGTTCCTGGAGCCTTTACTAATAGAAAGGTTTCTCCAGCAGATAACCATCCTCTGCAAGGTATTCTGCACCAATCATCAAAGCTGAAGTGGAAGAGAGACTGAGAGAGGATGTGGGCATGTTCTCAGGAAGACACACATTCTGTGCAGCAAGATAAACCCACGGAGGTTAATGTGGGCTCCTGCAGCACCACTCTAGACTCTTTAATCAAGGACTGATTCACCAAAGAGCCACCTGTTTCATGCCCAGAAAATACAAGTCGACCTTTCCCTGCAAACCTACTACCATGTACAGACCTTAAGAGATGTTTGTAGTTCTGAGTCAAGGGGACTGTCTTCCTTCTTTGCAAATAAAAACTAGAAATCTTTGTGTTCTTTTCCACTTTGCAAATTACATAACTATGTACAGTTAATCCTTCTACTAAATATGTGATATCATCATAACTACTACCATGGGAAATGGCTGACACCCAGGTGAACTTTAAAAACAAGAGTATTCTACAGATGATAAGTGTTTGTCAGGCTGACCTCAGGGATACAGTCGTCATGGGTCACCACCCTCACGATGTCGTCCAGGGGCAAGAGAGAATTACACTTGATTTCAGTGTAGACATTCTTTCCCTCTGTACATGCTGCCAGCAACTCCACAAGGGTGATGTGGTAGGCCAGGGGGCCGCTCTCATCCCCGCGAGCTCTCTCGGAGCACATCATGTTGAGGAGGATGGGGAATGATGCTCTATCGTTGTAAAATATCAGCACGTCTTCACCCCCATTAATCAACTGAAATGAAGAAAAGAGACTCTCCAGAGCAGGTTTCTAAAAGCTTACCTACCTGAAGACACACCGGTTTCTGTTTACAAACAGAAACAAGTACAAGAAATACTGCAAAAGCAGAGCTTCATCAAGACAGGAGGAGGGAAAGACCAATCAAAATCAAGTGCCAAGTGACCAGCTACTGATGCTGCTGAAACCAGGCAGGAGATATGAGAGCAGCGATGGGACAAGAATTAAACGGCACAGAGCCAGGCCTGGGGGTGCAGACCTGTAATCCCAGCACCAGGGAAGCCAAACATCTGAGTTCTTGAGTCTGTTTTCACTAAAGTAGTAAAGTGAGGGACTGGAGAGATGGCTTAGCAGTTAGGAGCACTCCCTGCTCCTGCAGAGGACCAGGGGATCCAAAGCCCTCTTCTGGCCTCTTCAGGCAGTGCACTCACATGCACACACCTACAGATAGACACACTTATGTACACATTAAATATAAAATGAATCATAGGAAAGTATTCACATTAGTAATTAAGTAAGCAATTTTTTACATTGCCTCAAGTACTTACAACTTTATAAATTCCTCACTTAATGGGAGGCATCAGAGAACAGAAGAGAGAGCTGAGATGGTAAAGAAATGACAGTGGGGGACACTTAGGACAAGACTGTTCCTCATATTTTGGTGTATGCTTCTAGTGCTCAAGGTGGTAGCAAATTATATTTACCATGCTGTTATCTATATCTATTACTGGTGCCAATTTTCTAACCCTGATATGAGATATTTGGTCAGATTACAAATGATAGATAAATTTTTATTTGGTTATTATATTTAAATTGGTAACATTTAAATCAATAAGCCAGTTAATTGATTGGCTTACTTTGACAGTCCTGTTGCAAAGGAATGTATGTATCCAAATATGGTTATGTGTAGACGGAAGTTTTCCTGTGTCCTGCCTGGTCCTGCAGCTGCTAGGTCCCAAGTAAACACACAGAGGCTTATATTCATTACAAACTTATGGCCTATGGCTCATGCTTCTTGCTAGCTAGCTCTTTCATCTTAAATTAATCCATTTCTATTAATCCATGTATTGCCACGTGGCCATGGTGTTACCGGTCTGCTGGCATGTTTCTCCTTCTCCAAGCCTTACACACACTGTAAACTGTTTAGAGGTCTATTCCATCTGAATCTGTCTTATTGTGTATCTGTAATCCTTTTCTGACCAGGAGAGATTTCCACAGGAGTCTGCTTAAGGAGTATTAGGAAATTTATTAGGATATAAATTGAGGAAATCCACTCACGAATACAGAACCAAGTAGACAGCTGAAGTCATCCTCTGATGTGACCGGGAGCAAATCCACCTGGCAGTTCGATCACACCAGGAAGCAGGCAGCAGGGGCCTCATGACCCCTCTCCCTTTCTTTTTAAGAGATCATGTATGATGACAAGAAGCACCACCTCCTTTAGACTGTATAGCCCAAGGTCATGGGCAGAGCAAATACTACTACAGTTATGTATAATATTACAAATATTTCCTTATACACAGAAGTATTTCCTTTGGTAAGTGCCAAAGGAAGGGCTATGCATTTGTGTCACAATGTTCTTTTCATTGTTTATTTACAACAATTCATACGTAAAAGTTCAAGGCCTTAGGCTGGATTACTTTTTAAGATTTCTGGGTGGCACATGAAATCAACATGGGGATATCTCTCATTTCAAACTGGAAGGCATATGGAGATGAGAATTTCCCCAGACCAACGTAATCTCCCAGGTAACTAACTTGCAGCTGTGGGTGAAGTTGCTTTGATACACAGTCCACCAGCCAGCAACTGGTCACCAGTTCTCCAAAGGAGCACTGTTGTGTCCCTAGTGAGCAGCTAACCCACAACCGCCCACCAGCCAGCAACTGGTCACCAGTTCTCCAAAGGAGCACTGTTGTGTCCCTAGTGAGCAGCTAACCCACAACCGCCCACCAGCCAGCAACTGGTCACCAGTTCTCCAAAGGAGCACTGTTGTGTCCCTAGTGAGCAGCTAATCCACATCAACCTCTTCCAAAGTAGTTCACTCACTTTTCTTCAGTTCTTACCTTATTTAAAATACCCAATTCCTACCACTTTAATAAAGCCCTGACAACCATTTTTTATTAACTCATGTCTTGTTCTTCAAAACTATTACAAACAGTGGCAGAGAATACCCATCCTGTAATTCAGAAAGAGAGCAGGAACCATCAGAGCTCAATTGCTCTGTTATGTTACTAAAAATTTTTAAGTAGAAAAATTGTGTTAATTCCAAATAATCTTGTGATCTCATAGGATTTCACCCATTGAAGGAGCTGGAGTGGTGGCTCTTGTTGCTCTTGCAGAGAACCCAGGTTCAATTCCCAGCACCCACATCAAGGTCATAAGTATGTGTTACTCTAGTTCCAGGGGATCTAACTTCCTCTACTGGCCTCCACAGGCACCTACATGCACATGGTGCACATACAGACAGGCACACACACATATATAATTTTTAAGTTAAAAAATTACCCATTATTTAACAGACCCAAATTCATTACAGATCAAAATGAAAGCTCTTAAGGAAATCATTAAGTCAGGTTGTCCTGTGTTACTTCGCTGCACCAGTATAAAACCTATTGGTGCTTTGGTAGTCATAGTAAAACCAAACCACTTCGGAGGTCTTTCCCTGCTCTGAGCTGATGATGCATAACTGAGCACAACTTATGTGAAGCTGGTAAGACACAGACTGAACACCTACCTCGGTCATCACCATATCCTGGCATTTCTTCACGTATTTGCCATCTGCTTTCACGATTGTCTGCAGGAACCTCAGGTACTGCACGTGGCGGCCGTGCGTCTCGATACAGTGCACGAAGTGTTGGACAACCCTCTCGCTGATCTCGTTGCACAGATGGTAGTTGTTCATGAAGATGTGCCGCATGGTTTCTGCTTCCAGGAGCTGAGCAGAGGAGCACACCGCTGTGACTGTGATGAGGTCGCTGTTCTACCCTACAGCTCTCATGCTCCCTGACTGCGATGGGCCCCATGTTTTATGTGAAGCCACCATGAATTGCCAGTGCCTGTGTTCTTTGAAGTGCAGAGTCATTAACCACTGAAAGAAATGTGCCTCACACTGGGATTCAGCTGGAGAAAGGACCTTAGCAAATGCATTGCAGCAACTTGAGGATAATTTATTCATTACTCCTACTTGGCTCTTTCTTAAGATGTGCTAATAAATGGGGTTTTTTTTATCATTTTGTGAGAGTATGGTATAAGCATGTGTGCTGTATGCACATGTATGAATGGTGAGGGGTACATGTGGAGTACATGTACATGCAGGGCCAGAGCAGGATCTGTGTGCTCCTCCATCACTCTGGACCTGAGTTCCTTGAGGCAGAGTCTATCACCGAACCTGAAACTTATCCCAGTTATGCTGACTGGCCAGCAGGCTCCTGTGGTCCTCCTGTCTGTGTTCAACACTGATATTACAGGCACATCAGCCCACACCTGGCTTTTATGTGGGTACTGGGGACCTGAACTCATTCAGCCTCAAGGTCTGCCTACATACTTTGACAGGTCACTCTTCATGCAACCTTTGAATATTGGGCTCTTGTGTGTTTGGTTTGGGTTTGGGTTTTGTGGTACTGTCCTTCCGTACCCCTGTCCCTTCATTCCTGTGTCCTCAACCTTTCTCTCCTTCTCTTTGTTTCTCTGGTCTGTCTGCTCCATTCTTTCCACCCTCTCCTTGTTCCACAGCTCATCTTTCTCCCAGACTCTGATTGCCCACCAATGCCTATGCTAGGCAAGCTGGCTATACCCCAGCTCCCATATTTAGCTTCATATGGTATCATCAAGTTAGTTCTTGATTTAATCATTTAATTTGATTTAATAATTTAATTCTAACATTAAATTATGTTATAAATGAAACTACCATTGGCAGATAAAATTTGTCTAAATTACTTTAAGAGTTTCTTCTATGGAAACACTCAATTTTATGGAGTGAATCTTAATAAGGGAAAAACGATGTACAAAGGTCAATAAAATTCTATTCACAGTGCAGTAAATCTGATACACACTCTGCTGTGAGTGTTAGGGGTCACCATGCTACTTACTCCAGGAGTTAGAAACAAATTGAGATGTTTGTGAAGGAGAACTTGATTCTGTGGATTCCCCCGGCAGAAGTTCTGCAGGAAGGTGTGGGCTAAATCCATCACCTCGTTCATCTTCTCGTCATTCTATAGGAGAAAGGACAGCACATGACACTGAGAATCACAGGCAGATTACGCAAAACCACATCCCTCCACCTGGATGCTCGCCTCCATTGCTCTGCTCCTGCGCTCCTTCCCCCACACCCTCTGTGTCTCTATACCCTTCCACACCCCTGTGTCTCTACACCCTTCCACACCCCCATGTCTCTACACCCTTCCACACCCTCTGTGTCTCTATACCCTTCCACACCCTCTGTGTCTCTACACCCTTCCACACTCCTGTGTCTCTATACCCTTCCACACCCTCTGTGTCTCTACACCCTTCCACACCCCTGTGTCTCTATACCCTTCCACACCCCTGTGTCTCTATACCCTTCCACACCCCTGTGTCTCTATACCCTTCCACACCCTCTGTGTCTCTATACCCTTCCACACCCTCTGTGTCTCTACACCCTTCCACACCCCTGTGTCTCTATACCCTTCCACACCCCTGTGTCTCTATACCCTTCCACACCCTCTGTGTCTCTACACCCTTCCACACCCCTGTGTCTCTATACCCTTCCACACCCCTGTGTCTCTATACCCTTCCACACCCTCTGTGTCTCTACACCCTTCCACACCCCTGTGTCTCTATACCCTTCCACACCCCTGTGTCTCTATACCCTTCCACACCCTCTGTGTCTCTACACACTTCCACACCCCTGTGTCTCTATACCCTTCCACACCCCTGTGTCTCTATACCCTTCCACACCCCTGTGTCTCTATACCCTTCCACACCCTCTGTGTCTCTATACCCTTCCACACCCTCTGTGTCTCTACACCATTCCACACCCCTGTGTCTCTATACCCTTCCACACCCCTGTGTCTCTATACCCTTCCACACCCCCTGTGTCTCTATACCCTTCCACACTCCTGTGTCTCTATACCCTTCCACACCCCTGTGTCTCTATACCCTTCCACACTCCTGTGTCTCTATACCCTTCCACACCCCCTGTGCCTCTATACCCTTCCACACCCTCTGTGTCTCTATACCCTTCCACACCCCTGTGTCTCTATACCCTTCCACACCCCTGTGTCTCTACACCCTTCCACACCCCCTGTGTCTCTATACCCTTCCACACCCCTGTGTCTCTATACCCTTCCACACCCCTGTGTCTCTATACCCTTCCACACCCTCTGTGTCTCTATACCCTTCCACACCCTCTGTGTCTCTACACCCTTCCACACCCCTGTGTCTCTATACCCTTCCACACCCCCTGTGTCTCTACACCCTTCCACACCCTCTGTGTCTCTACACCCTTCCACACCCCCTGTGTCTCTATACCCTTCCACACCCTCTGTGTCTCTATACCCTTCCACACCCCCTGTGTCTCTATACCCTTCCACACCCTCTGTGTCTCTATACCCTTCCACACCCCTGTGTCTCTATACCCTTCCACACCCTCTGTGTCTCTATACCCTTCCACACTCCTGTGTCTCTATACCCTTCCACACCCTCTGTGTCTCTACACCCTTCCACACCCCCTGTGTCTCTATACCCTTCCACACCCCCTGTGTCTCTATACCCTTCCACACCCCCTGTGTCTCTATACCCTTCCACACCCCCTGTGTCTCTATACCCTTCCACACCCCTGTGTCTCTATACCCTTCCACACCCTCTGTGTCTCTATACCCTTCCACACTCCTGTGTCTCTATACCCTTCCATACCCTCTGTGTCTCTACACCCTTCCACACCCCCTGTGTCTCTATACCCTTCCACACCCCCTGTGTCTCTATACCCTTCCATACTCCTGTCCCTTCATTCCTGTGTCCTCATCCTTTCTCTCCTTCTCTTTATTTTTCCTGTCTGTTTGCTCCATTCTTTCCACCCTCTCTTTTTCCACAGCCCATCTTTCTCCCAGACTTTCTGATTGCCCACCAATGCCTATGCTAACAAAAATGTAAATTGAAAGCCAGATGAAGGATAGGGTATTTTCAATGGAACCTCTGCATAGGAAACACAGGAACAAAGTCAAGGACGCTGGGCATTACATGGGGTTGGGGGATCCTCTTAAACAATTAAGGGGAGAAAAAATCCTTTATAACTTGGTGATACATTTTAAGTACTACAGAATTGAAGGGAGACAGTGAGAGGGGCAAACCTTTTCATAGGGGATCTGCAGAAGGTCCAGCACCACCGAGTGAGCACCCATGTTCTTCAGCAGGCGCTGGTGCTGGTTGCGACATTTCTTGTTCTGCACACAGAGCTTACTCAGCCTAATCAAGATCTTTAAAAAGATGAAGCACTGCATTAGACACAGCGATGTCACACACAGCGACGTCACACACAGTGCCATCACACACAGCGACATCACACACAATGAAGTAACACATAGTGATGTAACAAAGCCACGTAACACACAGCGACTTAACGCAAGCAACATCACGCACAGCGACATCACACACAGCACATCACACACAGCGACGTCACACACAGCAACATCACACACAGTGCCATCACACACAGCGATGTCACACACAGCGACATCACACACAGCGATGTCACACACAGCGACGTCACACACAGCGACGTCACACACAGCGACGTCACACACAGTGCCATCACACACAGCGACATCACACACAGCGATGTCACACACAGTGATGTAACAGTCATGTGACACACAGCAACAATGCACAGCAACATAACACAGTGATGTAACACACAGTGACGTCACACATAGCAACATCACACACAATGAAGTAACACATAGTGATGTAACAAAGCCACGTAACACACAGCGACTTAACACAAGCTACATCATGCACAGTGACATCACACACAGCGATGTCACACACAGCAACATCACACACAGCGACATCACACACAGTGTCATCACACACAGTGATGTCACACACAGCGACATCACACACAGCGACATCACACACAGCGATGTCACACACAGTGCCATCACACACAGCGACATCACACACAGCGATGTCACACACAGTGATGTAACAGTCATGTGACACACAGCAACAATGCACAGCAACATAACACAGTGATGTAACACACAGTGACGTCACACATAGCAACATCACACACAATGAAGTAACACATAGTGATGTAACAAAGCCACGTAACACACAGCGACTTAACACAAGTGACATCATGCACAGCGACATCACACACAGTGATGTAACACACAGTGACGTCACACACAGCGACATCACACACAGTACCATCACACACAGCGACATCACACACAGTGCCATCACACACAGCGATGTCACACACAGCAACGTCACACAAAGCAATGTCACACACAGCAATGTCACACACAGTGATGTAACAGTCATGTGACACACAGCAACAATGCACAGCAACATAACACAGCGATGTCACACACAGCAATGTCACACACAGCGATGTCACACACAGCGACGTCACACACAGTGCCATCACACACAGCGACGTCACACACAGCGACGTCACACACATATGAGCAAAAACATCCGTGTGTGAACATGCAGAGAGAAAGTGCTCCTGTCTGCTGACCTCCTTGACGATCCGGTAGTTGTTACCCTTGTTGCTATCAATTTGCGGTGTCTTCGCGCCATCCTGCACTGGACTCAAGAGGTTGGATTCCTAAAAGCAACAGCAATGCCTGTTTTATGTTCGTAATGAACTTACTACTTTTACAATAAAAATATAATTTATAGTTTCTTTAAAAAAACAGTTATCTGGCCTAAGTTTTATGCTTTTTTATTGAATCAAAATTTTCTCAGCTTGAATGAGACATGCACACTACTATAACTTCATAAAAACCAAGTTGCGAGGTAAGTAGCATTGCTGAGCATTAATGAGGGAAATTAAAATAAAAGGCTGTTGTACATATTGCTAGTGTATAAATACATGTATGCTGCAGACATCCCATAGGTTTATATGAGGGGAAATGGTCAAAATCAAGGGCACACAAGTCATAATTCCATCATCAAAGATGAGATGTGAGGAAACTATGAACAAAGGAACAAGCACAACATCGAGATACATCTCAGGGAAGAAAAGGCCAGCTTAACCCCGGATGCTCAGCCAGGTTACCATGACATCCTTAAGAGTCAAACTTGGAATAGATCAAGTGTGTGCAGGAAAATGAAGAAATAAAAATAGAAATTAAATTAAAAAATATTATTTCAAATTACTGCATTCATAAGACTTATAGAGAATTCTGAGACACCAAAAATAAGTAATTACAACAACCATTATCAGATACATTACATTAAGAAAAAAATCCGGGGCACGTGCACGTGTTAAATATCACCTATTAGAATCACCGTATACAGAGAACCTGTTAGCAGTGCTTGCACATAGAACGTCCGTAAGCCTCACTATGTGCCTACACTAGGCCACTGTGAGCACCTCTAAGAGAAATAAAAGATCCTTTCTTCTGACCAGAAAACTGCAGCCACCTAAGAAAGCATGAAATGAGAAATCAGAGAGGTCAACTGAATAGGTCTTTCTATCCAGGGAGGGAGGAAGAGCAGCCACGGCTTCAGGAAGTGGGTTAGAGGAAGTGGGTTAGAGGAGCTCAAGTCTCGGTTGAGATCTTCAAGGTGAACACCATCTGGCTGAGTATAAGGGGTGCATGGGTGGGGAGGCGTTTCCAGAGAAGTCAGTGGTACCATTAGTGAGAGCAGCTGGGAATACTGCATGGAAAGTGGTAAGAACTGACTTACAGAATGCACAGAACTGCACTTGGGATCAATGTCAAGTTCAAATTGGGTCAAAAACACTTGAATCTCCTGAATGTTGGTAGTGTCGGACTCCCTTATTTACTGGGGACTGCAATCTAAGCTCAGGAAAAAGTAATAGAGATCCATGAGGCCAATTAATGTCGTTCATTTGTCCCAAGCTGTCCTTCTTAAGGTGCTCCAGGATCAATTTAAAAAAATAACTCAAACTGAGAAATGACAGCAAATTCTTTTCCTGTTAGTCAAAGGAGGTGGGTGAAAGGCTCTGCGCCACAGAGGGTGCAGTCAGTTTGAAGTCAGCGCCACTCATCAGCTTTACATTTCTCCTTTGCTTCCTTCCGGGCAAATGCTGTTTCCAAACTCCCGGTCTGAATCTCCCCTGCCATTTGCTAAGGATGAAAACCCCTATCAACCACATTCCCACTCTCGTCACATACCCAGAATGCCTCTCCTGTGAGAACTGACATTTTGAGTCATGGGTTTCAGAAATCCCATCTCCCCATTTATTTCTGAGACATGAGCAGGTTCAACCCTCTGTAACCTCTTAGCTCATAAAAAGTGCAGGCAGGTTGAGGCTCATTTAGAGTTAGTGCTCACCCCAGCAGCCTTGAATCCCAGACACTTCTCCCACTGAAGAAGCATCCATGCCCCACCACAGTAACACTGCCAAGTACTTGTAAGTACTCCTAATTACTCGAACCCTTCTGCATTCGACTCTGTAGTATGTTCCCATTCTTGTTAAACATGGCTCTCCATGCTTCACCGTGACATGCTGCGCCTCACGATTGACCTCCCTCTACCTCTTCAGCACCTCTCTCTTTGACTCCAAACGACTGGGATCACAAATGATGGAAGAGACCGACACTGAACACCTTCAGATATTAGACAGGTGAGCTGGGCAGCCCAGCCTCCACTCCAGGTAAAGAGAGGGGACACATAAGACACTGTCGGCCAGACAAGAGTCCAAGAAGAGACTAAAGCCAGACCTGCCTTGTCGGGGAGGCCAGTGCAGAGGGCAGGTAGAACAGGTAACTACATAGGATACTCAGCTGGAGACTCCAGCCAGAAAGTTTCCAGTTCCTATCAAAAAGGATTCATGGGTGAGAAGCAAACGTTGCAAATTCTAGAATTGTAATTCAATTTATTTTTTCTAAGCTCAGCATCCTATAATTTCAGCGCAATAGAAATGGGTAATCTAGAGTACAAAAAAGGAAGATTGAGGCAAGCCTGGGCTACTTGGAACCCTATCTCAAAAAAAAACAAAACAAAACACCAGATTCCCTCTTCTAATCACAAAAGTGGAGGCTGTATTTTCATAAGGCCGTTTCATATGGAAGAACAGCTCATGTGTACCACAAATTTATATTAAGACACGAAGCTGTGAGCAGGTCTAAAGGATGTCAAAGTCCTCTCGCTGAGTCTGTCAACATTAAAGAAAATAGCTAAAAATAAGAAGCAAAGCCTGGTGGACAGTGACCTCAGGAAAAAGCAACCTTGGGCTGGGGGTACAGGCCATTGGCAGACCACTCGCCTGGAGTGAACATGGTCCCGAGTTCAAATCCCAGCACCAATGAAAAGGGGGAAGGAAAAGTAATGCTGGAGAAAGCATCACAAAATTATGCTCTTTGGTCCAACACAAGGGAGGGGACAGAAAAACGTTAAACTGTGAAGAAATTATGGAGAATGATTATTTTAATTTAAAGTTGCCAGCAGTCAACAAAGGAGGCAACACTGACTTATTTTCTGAAATTAAAAAGATTGTTTATTGAATTCTCCAGTGTAACTAAGCTGAACAAAAACATCAACCCACAGAACATCTGGATAATTCCAAGGCAGGGATCGGGGAATTAAGAAATATGCAAACTACGCAGCATGTAAGGGCAGTTTGGTTTTTTATTCTGAAAGGGCTTTAAATACAGATGTTTCAAGATTTTGCCTCCCAGAGAGCAGAAACTGATGGTGTTTATTATACTCTACACAACATTAGACCCAGGTCAGTGACCAAATCCACAAAGCCCTAAATTTGTTCTAACAACAAACTATTGGAAAACAACAAAGTGTAGAAGTATTACTTATGCCACGTACCAGCACTGAGCAGGCCTGGCAAGCTGGGGGTGACGCCATGCTTGCAGCACCAATCCAAATGACCCTTTGACAACAGTCATGAGGGACTAACATGGCATCCCTACTGTTTTTACCGTCAGCTACAACTGAAACTTACTTCTTCTAGTGAGTAAAACAGACTAAGCTAGCTGATCTCACAGGGTTAGCCGTACTGTAATCACACACTACATGACCATACTATAAGCCAGGGCTTCAGAATCAGAACAGGAACAGTCTTCTTGGAAGAGACATAGAGTGAGTCCTGCTCAAATCACAAGTTCATCGCAGTTCTTTTTCCTTAAAAAAACTGCGTGCGTGCGTGTATGTGTGTGTGTGTGTGTGTGTGTGTGCGCGCGCGCACGCGTGTATGCTCATGAGAGGGGAGAAGGAAGGAGGGAGGGAGGGGAGGAGGAGGGAGGGAGAGAGAGAGAGAGAGAGAGAGAGAGAGAGAGAGAGAGAGAGAGAGAATGAGTGGCATTCATTGATGGTAATCCAGCATCTAAAATCTAAGCAGGAGGCATCCCACTTTTAAAAGCAGAACTATCCAGATCCTACCACAGAGAACCGTGGGGCACCCACAACTCAGGATGAAAATAGCTCAGTGAAAGCCTTCTCCTGTCCCATCCCACCAGCTTCAGGAGTTGAGTCTCCTGCTCACCACCTGTATCCGAAGCCCCCTCTTTAATGAACCACTCTTGAACACAGTGAGCAGCGCATTAACCAGCCAGCTTCACCCTTAATTCTGATGGCAAATGTCTGCCTTCCCTCCCTACACTCCTACAGACTACGTGGGGAATATAGTAATGGCCAGTCTTTCAGATTTTGTTAGTCTGATTTCAGTTTAGGTGGCACTCGGAATGAATGTCCCCTCACCACCACCGCTGCACACACACTTCAGATAACTGCATGATAACCCCCTGCAGGGTGATAATACACTCCACCCCCATCCTTCAGGGCAATGCCAGCTACTTAGAAAGACATCTGGCAGGTTACAGAATGAGCCAAATCCACAGATAAATATAACTGTCCTTGCACCTAACATTAATTTGGACCATTGTGGAGTCCTGGGTGACAGTTTCTGCTTCCCTAAAAGATATGTAAGGCTACTTGAAGGCTTGAGCTGGGATCCACAATGGGTTCATGAGGCTGTGTGCTCCACAGCTAGTAGACACCATGCTTCCAGGTTCCCTTCAACACAGACCCAAATTCCTTCCCCACATTTCCTTGTCTCTCCATCCCACCAACAATGTAACAAAAAATGTGTCCTGGACAGCTTCTTTTTCCTTGGTCTTTAGGAAATATGAGGAATATGTTTGATTTATAGACTTTTGTTTGTTTTAGACAGGATTTCGTGTTTCCCAGGTTGGTCTCAAACTTCCTATGTAGCCAAAGATGACCCTGAACTATCCTCCTGACTCAACCCTGAGTGCTGGGATTACAGGCTTGTGCCACCACACTCCATTTAAGTAGTTGAACACTGAATTAATCTGGGTGTTTCCACCAGAATACTGCATTTCCTCTATCAAACTAAGGGGCCACCATGCTTCCAGAAAATGGTAGCTGGATTCATTGACCCCAATTTGAACTCTAAAATTGGAACCTTCTAGATCAGTAGTTCTCAATCTTCTTAATGCTGCCACCTTTTAGTACAGTTCCTCGTGTGATGGTGACACCAAACCATAAAATTATTTTGCTGATACTTCATAACTCTAATTTTGATACTGTTATGAATTGTAATGTAGATATCTGTGTTTTCCAATGGTCTTAGGTGACCTCTGTGAAAGGGTCATTTGA